ATGCAGACAAACCCTATCAACAGATGGAAAGTAGACATATGCTGATACGGTTGGAGACTGACTACAAGGGAAAACCCTCCACCAAAATTTCAATTAACTATTATTCTACTAAAATTGGGTATAACCTTCACTCTCAATCCCATACCCTACAAGCTAACCTTTCTATCAGCCGACAGAGAAGGATGTCCACCCTCAACCTCCAACCACTTTCTCGTAAACGACTCTTCTTTTTCATTCATATTATACTGTCTACACTTAAGACAAAAGTAGGAGGACTCCAAAGATTGCACATCCTCTCTTGCGTACCAACTACCCTATAGTATGTTGAGAAGGGGGTGAAAATATCTGTTTTTTTTTATATTTGCCCACATCACTGTCTAGAAGATTGGCTGCAACTATGTTTGAAATGTGTCATCGTCGAAGGATTTTGAAAAATTTTAAATTCTTTACAGACAAAGACATATACACTGGTGAAATTTTTGAATCATGACAGGTACAACAGAAAAATTCCCACAAAAAAATGAAAGATAAAAAAACATTATATTTAAAAAAAAAATCGTCATATTCAAAAGTTATCATTTAGATGTTTGTTAAATTGTAAAATTTTCATTTTTAATTCACAAGTTTCCGTCCAAAAATTAGTTTTCCCTTCCAACTACATCTATTTACTGAAGATGGAATAGAAGTTTGAACGAGTTTATGAAATATCTTAATTAAACTTTCATTCTACTACAAAAAATATATTCTAACTTAATTGGATTAACCTATTTATGACTGAAAATCCGTATATAGAATGAAAGTCAAATTAAAATATTTCATGAACTCATCCAGACTTTCATTCCATCTCTAGCATGCAGTTCAAATAAAAAGGGATACCCCAATCTTGGCATAAAAGTTTTCAAGTAAGACGAAAATTTTTAAAAGTGGAATGACATTTTTAAAGATGGAATGAAAGTTTAAGTTAAGAATATATATTTTTTATAGAATGATTATTTAATTCTGTATTTTTTTCTGCTATAATCACCGGAAGGACTAACTCCCTCTTTAAAGATCAGTAGCCGAACACACTATCCCAATACTTTAGAGCAGGGGTCTTCTTGGCTCTATGGCTAGCAAGGAGAGACCGAAAAATTTTCAACACAAACATCTTCATTGTCAGCACTACTGCCACAATTCAAGCAGATGCTCCGTCTCGACATCATGGCAGACTGAATCAAATGTGAAAAGTCATCTACATCGGTTGAATTTGCGAGACACGCCTTCAGAAACAAACGGTCATTACCCTACAAATGGGTTGACTTCAAAGAAGATAACAAGTTGTTCAATTTGAACCTCTTATGGGACCGCCTGCATGTTAGGCTCAGTTAGACATACCCTATTAATGACAACCCTTATAGGTTGAGAGTGCGGAAAGTCATCAACATCGGTTGAACTTGCGAGACACCCCTTCAGAAACAAACGGTCATTACCCTACAAATGGGATGACTTCACAGAAGACAACAAGTTGTTCAATTTGAATCTCTTATGGGACGCCTTCATGTTAGGCCGAGTTAGGCACACCCTATTTATAACAGCCCACATAGGCTGAGAGAGCCTAGGTATGCGGCGATCATGTATCATAAACCAGTCTTAACCGCCCTCATGTTTTTTTTTCGCATAGTTATTTGACTTTGACCAAACACCTATGACTCTGTGAGATAAGTTTGAGAATATTCAGGTAGTGTCTTTCTAAGTAACTTTTTATAGTTGTATTCGTTCATCTTTGACCGTCCTTTCTTACGCTCTGAGCATTGATTTCAAGCGACGCTGGACTTGGTTTTCAACTTTTAGCCTGAACTGGGTAATGGCCCCAGACTCCGAGTTGTATTGTTGAGGGATTCCTGACCTCCTTCAACAAAAAAAATTCCCTGAATTAAATCATCATTCTATAAAAAATATACATTTTGAATTTATTTATTTTTTTCATCTTAAAAAATGTCATTCCAATTAAAATAAAATTCATCAAACTTGAAAACCACCCTTCAAAAAATGGGGCATCCCTTCTCATTTGAACTGCATGCTAGAAATGGAATGAAAGTCTGGATGAGTTCATGAAATATTTTAATTAAATTGTCATTGTATATACAAATTTTCAGTCATAAAAATGTTAATGGAATCTGAGTTATAAGATATTTCTTGTAGCAGAATGAAAATTTAATTAATATATTTTATTAACTCGTATAAATTTTCATTCCATCTTCAACAAACAGATGCAGTTGGAAAGAAAAACTCATTTTTGGACAAGAAATTGTCAAATAAAATTGAATTGGACAAACATTGGAATGATAAATTTTAAATATGACGGATAAAAAAAAAAGAACGTTTTTTCATCTTTTATTTTTTGTGAGAGTTGTTCATGAAATACTATAAACATAAAAAAAGTGGGATTCGATTTTCGTCATACAAGAGATATGTAACTTAATAGAGTGGGTTTTTTGACCCCTTGCTCCTTCGATACAAAACTCTTTGAGTAGTATGGGCTTTCGGAGGGAGCCTCATTTTTTGTTATACATTTGATTCATTTTTCTGCTGCCTACCGCTGATCTGCTAAGTGGCTTCGTCTGCCGTTTGGTTGCCACAACAGAAAAAAAATCCTTGAATTAAATAATTATTTTATAGTAAAATTGCATTTTCAATTTTAAATTTTCATTCCATCTTTAAAAATGTCACTCCATTTTTAAAAATTTATGTTTTACTTGAAAACTTTTATTCCAAGATGGAGTATCCCGTTTTATTTAAGCTTTATGCTAGAGATTGAATGAAAGTTTGGATGAGTTCATAAAATATTTTAATATGACCGTTATTCTATGTAAGGATTGTAAGTTATAAATCGGTTAATCCAATATAAATTATAAGATATTTGTTGTAGTAAAATGAAAGTTTAATTAAAATATTTCATAAACTCGTTCAGACTCTCATTCCATCTTCAACAAATAGATGTAATTGGAAGGGAAAACTAATTTTTAAACGAAAACTTGTTAAAACAAATTAAAATTTTTAGAATATGACGAACATTGGTATTGATCATTTTTTAATATAAAGGATATTGTTTTAATATAATGTGTTTACAACTTTCATTTCTTATGAGAATTTTCATGTTACACAAGATTGAAGTTGCACCGTGAAGCAGGTATTGCGTGATTTCCTAGGAAAGGTTCATAAAGGGTTTGCTATTGATTTTACTTCAACATATACTTACGCTATCTTGTGTTTACTGTTCTTGAGTTTTTAAAACTCCATTGATGTTTAGTTTGTTATGACTTTATGCATTTGATGTGATGATGCTTGGGCATGAAATTCCTGAGTGTTTGTGTTGGTGACGTCACTTTGTCGCTTCTACGCTCTCTAAATGAACGATGGGATGCTTTACGCTCGCACATGAATTCGTTGCATGAGAAAAAGATCCATACGGATAGACATTGATATAGGTGGCTTTCATGGTCTGCTCTTGCTAATGGGTTGAAGTTGGATATACATCTTATGTAGAGTTCTCGCTCGCAATATTAGGCGAACCTTTTTCTTGTGCTTTTGTGCAATTAGTTTTTTTTTTTTTTTTTTACTGTTTTTTGCTCTGTTAACTACCGTGATTGCCCATTGACACTGGACTGTTTCTCTCTTGGTACGCCATCATAGCTGGTCGCTCGTAACAAATTTTTTATTAACGTTTTTTTCACCTGCTCGTAGCTGTGATACTAACAGTTTTTTTGTCTCTTAATCTCTATCTATGTATAGGTCGGATGACGTTTGATTGTTATTTTTTATGTTGCTTTCTATCTTGTTTGGGTCGTCTCAACGCTTGCTTTGTTTTTTTTTATATACTAACCGTGACTTTGATTATTATGAATTTGTTTTACCATTAGTGGTTTTACCACTGACACGATTCTTATTTTCTTCCTTGTCTGTTTTGCATCTTCTTTAAATCGATTTGCTTTTCCATTTTTATAACAACGTTTTGCCACTTTTCATTTCTTTGTGATCGTGTAGGATTCTTATTCCATTTTTTTTTATCGTTACTTTTGATTGTTGGTTTGTTATTGGATTTGATTTTTTTTCTCATGTGGTTTATGTGTTTTTTATTGTTTTTTTTGCTATATTGCTTTACGACATCTTGTTATGAGTAGTTATGGCTTAATTTTCTGTAACATATAAAAGTCCGTTTTACCGATACATAACGATGGTTAATGCATTTGATTGTACCAGTGGACAAGGTCATTTGGGGGAGAACCACGTTGTTCTTTCCAACTTCGTTTACCTGGGACTTTCCTGTGGCAGCTGTGTCCCATACCCCTCCACTTATAGGTCGTAGGTCAGTAGCTCCAACCAGGAAACTACTGATGCAGCTGTTATAACTGTTCTTGTGTTTGTGTGTAGCAAGAAGTACGAAGACCGACCGGATCTTGTTTTTGTTGCTTTTTTGAGCCCCCCCGGGGTTAGGACCCACCTAATCTGTCGGAAGAGGCCCGTTGTTGCCTTGTCGTGTCAGGGCCTGACTTTAGGTACCGGAGAATCTGCGCGGAACCAACGAGTAGATAAGCAATGACGAGTAAACATTTTGTCTCTCTACGGGATCGACGGTGCAGTCGGCATTTCCGTGATGCCGATGGTGCAGCAGAGGCGGGTTGGTGGCGAGAAGGGTTTGCGGGGATTGTCAAGAGGAAAAAACCCCCTGAGGACGATCGTCGGGAGGCGATCGAAACCATTCGGGGATCTATTTTTCTAGATCGATTGAATGGATTTACTCTTTCTATCATTACTCCTTGCGTAGTGACGTATTCTCTTTGTGTCGTGACGTGTACTGTCAATACATGATGTGCATGCTTGATGTTTTTTGAATGAAATGTATCTCACTGTCTAAACTCAAGACCTGCTTAAGCCCGTGTGAAACCACCTGGATGCTGTGCCGGGAGAGTGTGAGCACGTTTGAGAACTAAGTCCATTTTGGGTTGCTTTTCTGCGAAGGAGTGAAGCGAGGACCACTTAGGCTATTTGGAGGATTCTACAAGTATGTCACAACGAAATGATCGCGGCGATGATTACCGACGAGGAAACTATGGTGATGAGCGAGATCGGAGGTATCACGCCCCAAGTTTGGACCGTGACGATGAACCTGAAGACCGAAGGGAGCGGAGGCGTGAAGACCACGGACGGAGTGGGCGAGGACGCGACGAACGTAGCAACGAACGACATGTTGACTCGCCACGACGACCACCACCGGTCGTGTGCTTTGGCTGTAAAGTCGTAGGCCATTACCGTAGCGACTGCTGGAGGCTGTGGACCAACCCTGAGACACGAAGACAAATGGGGGCGGATGGGTATCGATGCCCTCCTGAATTCCAGCGTCGTGGGCGATCAGGCTCACCACAATCCAACCGTGGCACCTTTACCGAGCGGTCTCCGTTCGAAGAATCGAAGACGATGAATCGGACCGAGAATCTCGAGAAGACCGTCGAAGCAATGAAGGCTTTCGTCGACACTGAGATGGCCCGTCGGGCCGAGAAGGAGAGGAAGAAACTCGAGAAGGCGCAAGCCAAGAAATGCGAGGAGGAGGAGCAAGCAGCGGCTGAAGCGGCAAAGCGAGCCGAAGAACTCAAGAGACAACGAAGACTCAATAAAATACGGAAGCAAGAGGAAGAACGTGAAGCGATGGCTAAGGATGTTGAAGTTTCGGTTGGACTACGGTTTGGTACCGTGGACGACCGCCTCAAAAACATCATAAGAGAAGTGTTGTCGGAGAGTAATATTCTGGCGAAGGATAAGGGGAAGGCACCTGAAGCTATCGCATCCACATCGGGCGTAGCTAATGAGAGCGCGATCGATGTGATCACCAAGAGCACCGAGGGGCTGCAAATCACGGAGAAACGCAAGCGCGGGGAAGATACACCTTTGGGGAATAACCCACGAGTCACAACCCCAACGAAGCGAGTCACTAGGAGAACGAATTTGAAACCGCTTCGTCTTGCGGAGAAGCTACGGATGAGACCCGCTTTGAAGAAGACCAGCACGTTGCGACTCAACCGCGTGGCTATGATAGCGGTGAAGGCGATTCTCCAATATACAACCTTGGAACGAATGCAGTTTTTGGAAGCCACACACAGGGATCTTATCCCTATTCACCACGACGAAATTCGGGCTACTTGCGCCAGGGAGGGTGTTCCCTACAAAACCAATTTGCAAGCCATTTTTGACTTGGCTGATCGTCGTGCCGAAGTAAAGTTTGGTCCGGAACATCGGGGGACTGGGCCGACGATCATCCTCGATTCCGATTCTGGGGATGTGTCGAATGAGGAAGACGACGTGAGTAATGCGTGAAATTCGCTGACTAACGAGCAATGGTTTTTGATTTGTGAGACTGTGATTGACTTCCGTAAACAACTAACGAGTATCGATTGTGAAGTTGAGGTAGTGTACCAATTGCTGGTAATTTTGTTAGCTTTGAAAGGGCTGATACATTGGCTGGAGAAGTGCGTCCCAGCATGGTTGGATATGTATCACAGGTATGGCTTAGATTTCCTAGAATTTGTTGCTTGCGTATACATCATTACATCTCTTGTGTGTAAGTCGCAATACGTAGGACAAACCTCAAGAGAGCCGATTGTACGATGGAGGGAACACCGCTGGGTATTCATGAAGATACGCAAGTCTACGCATCTTTATCGTTGGTGAGAATCTTTCGCGGATGAGACCTACACTCTGATACCAGTGGACGCTTGCGCAGTTGGGGACTTAACGACACTTGAAGCTTTGTACATCAAGCGATGGTCGCCCTTCCTAAATACTGCCGGGAAGACCAGCAAGGGTAAGCGGAGGAGTCGAATAGGAAGGAAGGAAAGACAACGTGGTAATACGCTTGCCGATGTGAAAACTGACGCTGTCACTAATAGAGAGGCATTACACCCGATCCGCATCTGTGTGGAAGGAGGTGAGCCAACGATTAGAGTCTTTGACCTTCTAGCCGATGTGGAAGCAAGGGATCAACGAAACTTCCGATTGGTGTCGAGTGGAGGCGTGATTTGGTGTTGTACTTGGCGTAGACTGAAGAAAGTTTTCGGGAAGACTCGTTTGAAGATTGAGGGCGTACTAAAAAGCTTCCGTGAATGCAAGGAAGTACTCGAAGCAGGGGGAACTTTCGAAGTATGTTACCTCTGAAGATGGCATCGCAAGGGAAGCAAGTTCAAGCCAACCTTAATCTCACTCTTGAAGAATCCTCGTAAGTTGGAAGACATCAGGAAGTGGAATTTGGATGACTTGGACGGACTCTTCGGCGCCACGAAAAACTTCGAACGATCGTCAACACAAGCGTACTTACGCAGACTGCTGAGTAGAGTGATCCGCGAGGAATTTGATTTTAATTTGTCCGCTCCGCTAGTTATTCGTTTTTTGTTTGATGATAGGATCAAGTTGTGTGAAGTTCGGAAGTTAGTTAACGACAAGTTGAGTAAGTGTGACTCTTCGACGCCACGGAAGACTTCGAACGATCGTCAACACAAACGTACTTACGCAAACTAATGAGTAGAGTGATCCGCGAGGAATTTGGTTTTAATTTGTCCGCTCCTCTAGTTATTCGTCTTTTGTTTGAGAATAGGATCAAGTTGTGTGAAGTTCGGAAGTTAGTTAACGACAAGTTGAGTAAGTGTGAACTCCCCCACTGTATCATCCGTAGAGTACGGTCTTCAGTCCGCATCGTCTGGGTCAAAAATCCAAGTGTTGCGGACATTTGCACAATCAACGAAAGTTCGATCGCGCTGATGTGTCAGCCTGTGCTTGTGCAGGTTTTCCTTACCCACGGGTAAGAGGTCACGTGCGCTGCCAACTACAGGAGGTGGAAGGAATCCCTGACTTGGCCTTGAATGCTCATAATGTACCTTTAGCTCGACAGGAAGATCGAATAAGCAGACCGAGTTCCGAAATTGTTGAAGGTTTTAGCCTTTGGGGTAACGAGAAAGGGCAGTCGATAATCTGCTCTTTACCCGAAGCAGCAAGATGTATGCAACTGACGGCAACGGAGGAACACGGCTACTTGGACAAGGGAGTCGTACTCGACCTCAAATCAAGGTTTGACGGTCTTGTACTTACTCCTTTGCACAGGAACCCAGGTGAAACATTTTTAATCTCTCCATCCCTCTATTATCAGGGAATGTTTGAGTTGTTCATACGGAATGAAGGATATATCCCAATTGCGGGGACCGAATCTAACGCTATGACCGTGACTAGGGAATGTTTGAAGAAGGAGGGACTGCTTGCCTTTAGGAAGTGGGACGGAAAAGGGCACGTAGGGAAGGTTTATGCTTTACCAAAGCATAAAGACTTGGATCGGTATAGACTAATATGCCCAACCTTCTCTGAGCCTACAACAAGAACTTGTAAAGCAGTTGCAAAGGGATTGAATAACCTCATTTTTTCGTTACCACAGGACTCATTGGCGAGTCGTTTAGACTCATTCAACAGCAAGTGCGCCCGGCTAGGTAATGGAGTGATACTGACGGCGTGGTCCTACGACATTAAGGATATGTTCAACAGGTTAGCTCGTGACGAGATTTTGTCGGTTGCCCATTGGATTATCAAGTGGCACAAGGAGAAGGGAAGGCATTTCGTGCGTGTGAATACACGCGGACGAGCATCGACATTTGGTTTGACTACTGGACAGGATCCATGACAATTATTAGATTTTGATGATGTATTCAAGTTCGTGCAAATCGAACTGAAACATACGTATACCTTCGCTCTCAATGTCTTGTTGCAACAACGAAATGGTATTCCGATGGGCAAGAGTACAAGCCCACCTCTTGCGTGCATACTCTGTGCCTATGAGGAACACAATTTCCTTTGTAGTCTAGGGCTAATAGGCAGAGGGTTTTCGGCGTTCGTCTGATTGATGATGTGAGCTTGATCATAGCGAGTAAGACATCAACCGGGCAGGAACTTGACAAGGTCTGGGAACGTTTTGAGGAGTGTTACCCCTCTAACCTTTCCCTCAAGCGGACCGACAATGAGACATGTAAGTGGGATTTCCTCGGATGCGAAGTGAAGATTGACCCGACAATGAAACGGGTGGTGAGTGTGAAGCTAACGAAGAACGAGAAGACGATTTGAAACTCAGAGATTCTCGAGTTCAAAAAAGGGCAATCGTATCAGTCGTGGGGCAGTAAAACCCAGAAAAGTGTTGTGATTGCAGGGCACCTGCACCGGATTGACAGGAAAACGTCGGCACGCTTGGAGATTCCCTGAAGGGTGAACTGCCTTCGCCGTGAGCTTCGAATTAAAGATTTTTCAGAGCCCTGGGAGTATGTCTGCCGGTTCAACTGCCTTCGCCGTGAGCTCCGAATTAAAGATTTTTCAGAGCCCTAGGAGCTTGATCATAGCGAGTAAGACATCAACCGGGCAGGAACTTGTTCTTACGGGTTCTAAAACGTTTTGCTTGTGAGAAACTAGAGCCCGGGGAGTATGTCTGCCGGTTCATGTCTGATTCGATTTCAGCTTAGGATTAGTTGGGTTTGGTTTGGTCCCACATTTTGGTTTTGTGATAAACCAGTTTGAAGAACTCGCTGTACCTGTGGACAGGGTCATTGGAGGTAGGACCAAAGTTTTCGTCGGACAGTGCGTTGTACCAGTTTGGGTAGTTTATTGTACCAGTGGACAGGGTGTTTGGAGGCTGGATCATAGCGCGCGTCAAAAGTACCAGGTTGGATAGTTCATTGTACCAGTGGACAGGGTTATTTGAGGCAGGACCACGTTGTTCTTTCCAACTTCGTTTACCCGATACTTTCGTGTGGTAGTTGCGTCCGATACCCCTCCACTTATAGGTCGTAGGTGGGTAGCTCGGACCAGGGAACTACTGATGTAGCTGTTATAGTTGTTCTTGTGTTTGTGTGCAGCAAGAAGTACGAAGACCGACCACATTTTGTTTTTGTTGCTTTTTTTAGCACCCCGGGATTAGGACCTACCTAATCTGTTGGAAGGGGCCCGTCGTTGCCTTGTTGTGTCAGGGCCTTACTTTAGGTACCTGGGAATCTGCGCAGAACCAACGACTACATAAGCAATGACGAGTAAACATTTTGTCTCTCTCCGGGACCGACGGTGCAGTCGACATTTCCGGGATGCCGATGGTGCAGCGGAGGCGGGTTGGTGGTGGGAAGGGTTTGCAGGGATTGTCAGGAGGAAGAACCCCCCTGAGGACGATCGTCGGGAGGCGATCGAAACCGGTCGGGGATCCACTTTTCTGGATTGATTGAATGTATTTACTCTTTGTATCATTGCTCTTTGCGTCGTGACGTATTCTCTTTCTGTCGTGACGTATAGTGTTAATACTACATTATGTGCACGTTTGGCGTTTTTTGAATGAAGTGTATCATACTGTCTATACTCAAGACTTGTTGGGGCAGCATGTGGAAACAATGATAGTGTTATTTTTTTACATCAGTGTCACTAACATACAAGTTGATTGAGGTATGATTTTATCACATTTTTGTAGGTGGTTGTTTACAGTGATATTAGGCTACATAAGGTTTAGTTGCAACTAATTGAGACTTCGGTCTTCATCATTTTTCTTTTTTCGTTCGTGAATGTTTTTGTAAGTTTTCTCACTCTGTGAGATCGACGTTTAGCTTCTCTGGAGTGTCGTAACAAACATGTTCGATTACAAATTTTTAAAAAAGATGTTAGATCCGCTTTCACGAATTGAGAAATTTAGACAGGAGCACAAAGTCAGTTCTGTCTAGCGAGAAGAAAAAAAATTCAAGGTTTTTTGCGTGGTAGTTCTTCAAATGTGTTGTAAGAAGTCCAATCTGGTCATGCCATAGCGTTGCTTCCATCCCGATGTGGGGGGTTCGTATTTTCGTGGCATATTTTATACGATGTTATTTTTAACTTCTACTTTTTTGTGGTGTATTGTTTGAACAAACGTTTTAAAATGATATGGTGTGGCCGTAAACATTTCTTCATGATTTTGTAATTCGTAATTTCTCTTTTGTTATGAGTTGTGGCACGATGTGAACCTTTTGTGTGCTCCATTTTTTATGACGGATGTTGTATAAAGAGTTGTTTCAACACTGATGTTGTTTGCAGGTCTAGATCGATTAAAGACGAGAGATAGTTATTGAAAGATAAAAAATTCAAGTGTTTTCACCGTTTCAGTACAAGCAATGTCGTCGAAAAATTTACTAACAAACTATTAAGGCTCATAATCCAAACATAAAAAAGTAACAGACAAAAAATAATGAAAAACAAAACACTCAACAACACTATAAAATCCTATGCAAAGTAATTTTCAGAGTTCAGCAAAACGTTTCTTGAATTTAATGTTTTTGCCAACTTCTTCCTTACTGGTCCAAATACAACAAAATTAAATACAAGTGTATCATAAAGCAGATACATATCCGATTAA